AAAAAAAAATCAATGGGCAATTCAAAAGGCAATGAACGTAACAAAGAGATCCCATCACAAGGAAAGGCGCGGCCGACTACACACATGATGAACTAGTGTGAAGGAAGCATACAAAAAAGGTCAAGATCTAGAATTGATAGGAGATGATAAGTGTAGAGGAGATCGATTAACTAAAATGATTGATGAGGCAAAGAAATAATGGCAAAGAAATCATATAATTGCATCAAATCAAAAGTTTTAACCAATGGAATTTAGCACTGTTATATAGCCCAGTTAAAAAAAAAGTTCTTTTTCCCTTTTCAAAAAACAACTTACATGATGGGACTACATATCATGCAATATTTGAGAACCAAACAATTTAACAATTGCATTGTTCGTCTGGTAATTCACAAACATTTTAAGGAAAGAAATTTATGAATAAAAACTAATGGATACATAGGAAAGTTCATCAGCATATTTGTTTGGATTTTGAAAGTTGGGATCCATGGGAAGTGGTTAGAAACAACTGAAAAAGGGCAGAAGACAAAGATGGACAAACAAAATAGAAGTAATTAAGTTTTTAAATCAAAATTGGGTATCAAAAATTCTTTTTAATTCATCCTAAGAGTGAGATGAATGTGTGTCGGTGTGTATAATAGATCTAAGCACACAAAAGTATGAATGGAGTTAATGAGCACACAATACGTGTTAATTATTGTGAATTAAGTATTAGAATTAATAAAGCTTAACTATTATTTAATTTTAAACTTGTGTTGCCTTTTGTGTTGCTAACCTTATTTGTTTCCTTTGTGTAGTAGTTTGTGTTGCATTAATTGTTTTACGCTATGTTAACCCTATTGCAAGCCGAACAAGATAGGAAAGGACAAAGAGACAAATCACGACCTCCCTCATGCTAGAGAAACCAAGGGCAAGAGGGTTCATGACCTGCTCCTCTTTCCTACGAAAAACCAAGAGACCAAGGTTTCATGTGTACCGAGGAAGGAGGAAAGGATTGGAGTGTAGAGACAAAGCCGAATACAATTTTGATGTGATGCCAAAAGCAAAGGGTGAAAAAGATCGGCTAGGGCAAGGCAATGCAATATTTTTTTATACACCAAAAGAAAATATAAATTCAGACCCAAGTGTTTCACAAGGCAACAAACAATGGAAGGCAAATGGCTAAAAAAGACTTCAACTTTATCCTTGCATATAAAACACTGAATTTTTAAATCGAATGCCTATCAAATTCTCAACAACCAAATAAAATAGCATCTAGCACAATCAAATGCACTCATGAACAAATAGAAATACAATAAACACAAAAACTGTAAAATTTGAAGGCACACAAGTTTAAAATAAGCAAAGAAAAGAAACAATATTTATCAGTTACATAAGAAACTAAAAACCAGCGAAGTGAGCTAAGAACCTGATCCTTTCCAGGCTGCCTAACTCTTCTAATGCTGCCTTCATCCTCTCACCCTCTTTCCGCAGCTGAAGCTTCACCTCCTCCAGCCTTTCTCTGCAAGCAGAGACCTGGCTCTCTGCAATAAGGATTCCACGTTTCCATGCAGTAATCCTTCGCGCCTTATCCCTCTCAAACCTAGACCTCGGCAGCTACATCATTCTCGCATAAAGAACGTAAACTAACACGATTGAGAAAGAAAGAAGGATTAAAAATAGCCACACCTAATTCTGTAGAGCGATTTAGAAGGTATCTCCGGCGAGGAGGAGGAAGATGAAATTGGTTGGGGAAAATCTAGGGCTAGAAGTATAGACCAGATAGAAGGGTCGTTGGAGAGGCGGTTATGGCGGCGGCAGGTCACGGCCAACGAGCAGAGATCCCGGCAGCTTAGACGTTTAGTGGCCGCCCCCATGTCAAGGATCTTGATCCAGATCTCGTCCGGTAGGAACCACATCGGCACGCACTCTGCCTCTGTTTTTCCAACCTCAAAATCTATTCCCAACCAAATTTTGGTGATGCCCCTATCATATGAAAAAATATTATCTCCATCCATTACTATTTTAATGACGGGTCTTATCATGACGTCGTCAGGTTGCACTCCAGCATTGAAGTATTAATGCATCAATATTCATGAGATAATATTTGTTCGTATCATATAATGCTCTCTCTCCTGCATTCTTTTTAATTCATGTTCTAAATTAATAATATTTACATAAATATTGTCGCCCCCTCATGCTTGAAAATATGTATTACATTTTCCTTTAAGTCAAAATGATAATTTTCTTTATGTGGGATGAAATATTTTAAGGGTATAAATGTAAAAGGTAATGTTTACCGATTAGGTGTATAATTACATAGGAATTGAAGGGAATTTATATAAACTTCACTTTAAATTATTTGTGCATCCTTATTTGCTTAGACAAATCCATAATACATGGAAAAATTAT